ATCGGGGCTTCATTGCTACCTAACAAAAACTGTATTTATGTATGCTGCAGCGTGAGGAACAGAACGAGAAAGATAAGGGACCCAACAGTACTAAATTATCCCAAGGATTCAACACAAGCACAACGAACCTGAACGGGAAGTGAAATCATAGACAACACTGACATCAATGACATATCTTCGGCCAATTACATGAAAGGCGGGTGCACGTTGTGGGAAACACCATACCTTTATCAATTTCTTTCATACCCTCAAGGTATACAACACGACATAGACTTACAAGGCTTACCTGCTGGTGGGACTGATGAGAGAATAGCATGTCCGTTGTGGTTGCTGGTAAACCAGAGGCACCAGATTGAGACCCAAGAGAGGAAGAAAAAGTGTCGAAACCCTCCAAATCGGGAAAACTGGGTACAGGTTGGGCTTTAGGTTTTGGACTACCGGCAGTCACGAATTCACCAAAATCGGCATCCAGGAGACTAGAGGAGGGGGAAACAAATGGTTTGGAAAACGGAGAGATTGTGGGTGAATCGGTACAGAGCAGACCAACGAAGAAACCAAAAAGAAAACGTGTTGTTTTCTAAGAAACCAAAAAAGACCTCTGCTTCGCGCAGTCCAATCGTAAATTGACTAAGAGCCCAGAAAATATGCACCAGTAACTGAACAACGATGTCACGAAGAGAGTGAACCTTACGGCGGTGTGCACCTTCATAACTCAGTGAGCCATATTTGAGAGTGTACATGAGAAACAAAGTCTCTCATACCAGGTTAGTCAATGCGTAGAGGTATGTCTAAAATAATCTCTTGGCCCTCAAGGTTGAAAGTTGGAACATGTATGGCAAGCTGCACCCTAAAATGTAAGCTCCTCTAACAGCCTTACCCCGACCAGCACTGACTTGCAATTAGGTTTCCGAACTAGCGGCTCTGGCTGAGGACCTAATCATCCCCTTGCCTAAGTCAGGGGGCCCTAATAGTATCCCAGTCAATGAATTGCGCATTTACGGATAATCTCATGCCACATCCCTTGGTATTATCAGTCAGGTCACCTTGCTTGCTGTGTGTAAACGAAAGTAGGCTACTGCTAAAGCATCCCTTCCACCGATCTCAGGGGGTCCTTGCTTGAATGGTTGCCCACTGACAGTGGACTCTGAGCGGTTCGTTTGGCTACGCCTGTGAGACTATACCCAAAAAGCGCCAATAATCGCTGCCTGTTCATCGTATCTGCTTACGGCCAACAGACTGTAGCTCTGATGCACTCAAATCCAGCTTTTACGACGATTCGAGCACCTTCTTGTGGCGGGCTAAAAGCTCAGATATTGTTGTGATGTTCGGAGAAAAGTATGCAGAAGTACGCGCAGACTTAGCTATCCTCAGACTCAGGTGGGTAGTCATCCCGGACTGGAATCGAGACGCACGGACAACGGCGAAGGTTTGTAGTGGTTATTTGCTGAACACAGGTTGTTTCTGTGTAGTACTAGCTTCCGAAACAACCAAGGCCGCTTAGCCAAATTGTGTCCTCGCATTCAAGCTGACCTGCAACACAGATAGACTACGGTGCCATTAGCTATAGGTGGCGTGAGTTAATTACTGATTGCCGCTCACTCTGGAACACCTATGTGGATTTGTTGTTGCTTCCCGTTGGGCTTTCAGGAATGCAACGTGCATACACCTCGTCTGACCAACGAGAAGCTCTCTGAACCCGATTCGAAAGAAGTCTACCAGAACAATCTATTGAAGTCCCTTTCGGATGAAACGTCTTCTGATGTCCACTCTCACTGGAATGTGCTATCCGCAACCCTGGAAATTGGTGGGAGCACCGTTTTAGGAACGATGAAATGACTTATTTCTGACGGCTTCGGAAATAGGCGAATGGCTTTTGTCCCTCAAGTGTCACAGAATTACCGGTCCTAAAGAACTCCTACCCACTCCGTTGAAAAGTGGAGGTGCCTGTCCAACTTACTAGCCTTTTTCTTGGCAAAAGAGACCGCCCCAACAAATTGAAGTGAGTCGACGGTGGTGTCCATTTTGAAGAAGACTGCTCACAGTGAGAGTGATAATAGCAGAAGAATTAGCTTGACCCCCGTTGTAACCAGGAGAGATGGTTCAGTGGTTATAGAGTGAATTTACTGACAGGAAGGTCCGTGGTTCGAACCTGACCTCTGTCTCTCGACTTCCCATGTCTAGACTTGAACGACCTGGGAGTATCCCAGCCTTCGTGCTTCATTCTGGTAGCCAAGGCAGTAGGGGTCTGAAAAGATTCTACAGCTGAATGATTTTTTTTAACCAAGCACTTCACGCAGCTTATTTTATATCGTCTTAGGAAGGCGTGTAAGGCGGGACTCGAGAACACCAGGCATGATTTCGGCCTGAAAGGGACTATGTGAACCACATCTTCACACTCCGTCAAGTGTTAGAGCACGCCATGCATACAGGCAGCGTAAAATCGCGGTGACCTTTGACTTCAAGAGTACGTTCCAGTCTGTAAAATGGTTAGTTCTTCTCAAACCGCAAACGCAGTAAGATGTGCCTCAAACTCCAATGCTTTCCTAAAAGCGTCGGTGTCCGATAAGGATGTCCACAGATAACATTTCTGATCAATTTAGTTACTGATGATAAAATGAGGCGAATACTGGAAAGCCTCCAAGACCCCGGTGTCCAGATCTCCCCGAGTTAGAACCGCGTCGACCTGGAATATGCAGACAGTTTACGGCTTCGAAGAGCACAAGTGTAACCAGGAGAGCCGACCGACGTCATCCAGTTCTTCCGCACGCACCTCGCGCCCACAAAGCGCAAAGCCACGGTGCAAGATGTAGCCTCTGAACAGACCTCTAAGAATTCAAGGAGTGATATTGGAAGTTGTGGAACGCTATAAATATCTCAGAAGTTGCATTAGTTCTGGGGCTAGTGTGACAGACAAAGTCAGAGCACGAATCTGGAAGACAAGAATTGCTTTTGCCAGTTTCCGCCACGTGTGGTGTCACAAACGCATATCTCTGGATCTTGAGAGGGCGCGCATATCAAACCACAGCACGGGCTGTGACTTGGTCACTTCGGGCGGATGATCCGATACATTTCCAGGTTTTTAGCCGCCGACTTCTCAAAAATATAGCTGGAATCGGATGGGACCAGCGGATTCAGAATAAGCTGATCACATGTGTTCTTGATGAAGCAGAGGGTACTTTGCTGAAAAATGCATCCAAGGCGACTGGGCAACACCTTACACATGACAACCGTTCAGCTGTAGCATTCTTTCGCTACCTAGCTGCCATGCCACCCGAAGGAAGCATGACTGGAATACTGCCAGGTCGCCCAAGCCTGCATAGAAGTCGGAATGCAGATGTCGGATTCGAACAACGGACCTTCCGGTCCGTTTGTGTGTCGACTGACCAACTCAACAGGAGCAGATGCATTAACCGAACAGAATCCATAATGCCAGATGAGTAGAAATCCGATAATACGTTAGTATGCTTTCTTCTACAGTAGCACTAGCCTCGAAAGGATAGCATCTTTTAAAAGGCTGGTATCAGCTTCCGTCAAAACGCCAGATTGATGTGTAAAGCACCTTGGGTGTGAGTTGGGGGCATCGTAAAATCAGACCTCCCCAACGATTCACAGGTAAAAGATGCGAGAATTGAAGCTTAGATCACCAGTTTCTAAAAAGAACGAACTCTGATTTGCTCCCATGCCTAACGGGTCAGGCAAAGCTATGGTATCCTACCCTTCCATTCGTTCTCGTACACTATTGAGGATGACAGTACCGTGATGAGGAAACATCATGTGGTTCGCGGTTTGCGAACATACATTGATTGTTGCTCACGATTGCAGTCGCATAGAAATTTAATCCACATTTGACTATACTGCAGTATTCGCAGACGTGAGTGCCATACAGCGTGGCCTAGAGACTACTCTGAAGACAACCGTCGACAGCATATTCTAGTACCAAGTAGCTGGGCTCACTATCATCAAGAGTAACACCCTTAGCCTTAAAAACAACGCCAATATTGCAGGTCTGTAACTTCAGAAGCAAACATTGAAGTCATCTGAAGAAAGTCTTGTCACAAATTGAAAAACGAAAGGAGGGTGCTTAAGCATACATTCCGAAAACATCACACCGCAAAAGCTCCCAATAATCTAAACAAAACCTGATAAGTTGACCACTGGCACTTGTACACAACTCGATTTCACAGTACATCGCGTCAATCAACAGAGCTAATCCAAAGGCAAAAGAGGTTGTGCAGCTTCCTGCATCTGTTGGTCGTGAGACCAACCGAAGAACAGGATCACAGTTGTCAATTTTTGTAATCGAAAGCGCAAATTATTTTCTGTGAGAAACAGCCAGCTCGAGTAGAGGACCTAAGACCCCTTTCACGTACCACAAGTCCGGCTAGTGTGGACTGGCGACGGTAAATATAAACTGATTTGGTATGCCCCAAGAGGCGCTGTCGCGTTAGAGAACGGTACTGAAGCGCCAGTATCTGCTGCAAGAGTATTGCAGTCCATAGTGATCATGATGAGAGTGTTTCCAGCATAATTTTTCGTGGTTAATCGAGTGTTACATATACCCACGTATTTTTGATTGACAAAAGCTCGATTTTCTCTGCGCAGTTCAGAGAGTCGAAACCAAAGTTGGTAGAAGAGTATAAAGTGAATGACGAAGAATCCAAGAGTGTTTTAAACAACTTTAAAAACCAAGTATCATCCTCTTGTGTTCTACGGCTACTCTATGGGGTTTGCAGTGGTTTCGTCATAGAATGTATGCAGCGTATCAATGGTGGACTGACACCATACAACATCCCTGTCATTCCGCAATACGACTTTCTCTACAACTGTACAGCTGTGATGCACCAATATTCAAACAAAACTATTCAACCTTCCGACTCATGAAAATCATTTGTACACACTAAAGCTGTTATCCACTGAAGAGAGCACCTCAACAGATCAAACAAGCGTGATGTCTCCTTAGGGGGCTGTTAGAAGGCCAGCCTCTAAACGAATAACGATTGTCTTGTATGCTGAAATCTTGTTTCTACATTTCAGCCTCTCACTGACATCCTATTGGAGTGTTAGCTCTTCATATACTTTGGTTCAGTTGAATTCCATATCATGGAATGATCCACTTGTTTGCGGTATATCTTCCTCGAAGTTGTTTGTCTTCTCCACTCCGGTGAACTGACTAGTCTGACTGATACATCACAAGAGGATATAACAGGGACTCAGATGAGAATCAAGACAAGTAAAATGCAAAAGAATTTGCTACTGTTACCCTTCCAGAAGGCCTTAAGTGTCTATCGTATGTTATCAAACGGCACTAGCATGCAGATTCGCCGTTTCTTCCAGTTCAGAAATTTCCGTCAGCGCTGTTTTAATAGTCGTAGCTTAATCGATTTTACCTGACTTATATCATTTGTCCTCGATTCCTGGTAGATATTTTCCGATGAATTCAAAGGGATCATTATGTTTAGTAAGAACGCATATCAAG